GTCTCCACTCATTCCCCCCAATAATTTTTTTTTCAAGTTTCAGGTAATATTTTTTATTATTTTCTTAATCGAGGTATTATTGATGTATAACATATAGTTTCAGGAGTACAGTATTTGTATGCGTTGCAAAGTGATTACCACAATAAATCATCACCTTACAGTTACCAAAAATATTTTTCTTGTGATGATAACTTTTAAGATCTCTCAGCAACTTTCAAATATACAATAATTCATGGTTTGTTTGTTTTTTTATCCTTTAATTCTTTACTCTTTTTGAGGGTGTTTGTTATTTTTTTGTTTTTTGAACTACTTAATTGTAAATTTTGTATAATAATAGAAGCATTTAGGGAGATGTTCTCCATAGCTTTGGCTTTATTTATAGATTTTGAAATGTATTCTCTTTATTGTTTCTCTTAATAGTTGATATTCAGTTTTGATTCCTTCAGCCTGAGAGTTAATTTAGTCATTGTGTTGTAAGAAAGAGATCCACCTATGGTCTCTCAAGTAAAAGGGATTTAATTATAGGGAAAATGTGAATTCACAGGGATACAGTGCTAGGAACTAAGGCCTCCTAACCTCTGAAATGGGCAGAAGTTAGGAATTGTAGTATCTTTCTAATTTGTTGCATAGTTTCTCTTACGGGTTGGTCAGTCCTTTGATGTATTGATTATATATCTGGTGGCTTTTCTTTGTCCATTACTACTTATAAGTGAAGATGTAAATTGTTTTAATATTATAGTTGGGATAGGCAGTGTTAATAATGTGATCTATCAGTTTCCCTCAGCAGTTCCTTTCCTTACCTCGTATTATACATCCTAGTGGATGGAGTATCTATTTACAAAGTTTGTGTTGATCTTTACCATGACTTCCAACCTATTAGAACTTCCCCAAATTCCAGACTGCTTGTGCAATTTCCATCTTATATTTAAGAGTTAAGAGCAGTCTCAGGGAAATCTTTTTACTCATTGGTTATTGCACTTAACTGTCATATTTACTTCCTTAATGAGGTTTTCTAAATATAGCACCTTCAGCTTGCCTTCACTCTTCTTTTTTTTTTTTTTAAAGATTTTATTTATTTATTTGACAGAGAGAGACACAGCGAGAGAGGGAACACAAGCAGGGGGAGTGGGAGAGGGAGAAGCAGGCTTCCCGTGGAGCCGGGAGCCCGATGTGGGGCTCGATCCCAGGACCCTGGGACCATGACCTGAGCTGAAGGCAGGCGCTTAACGACTGAGCCACCCAGGCGCCCTTGCCTTCACTCTTCTATGTGATGTTCCAATTATATGATGACCCAGCTTTAATTTTTTTAAATAATATTGTTGTTACTTAAATTTGATAAACAAGGTTGATTTAAAGTCCTAGTCTTTTTTTTTTTAATGTTTTTTCTTTTTTAAGATTTTATTTATTTTTGCGAGAGGGAGAGAGCACATGGTGAGCATGAGCAGGGGGAGGGGTGGAGGGAGAAGCAGACTCCCTGCTGAGCAGGGAGCCCAGTGGGGGACTTGATCCCAGGACCCTGGGATCATGACCTGAGCCGAAGAAGGCAGACGCTTAACTGATTGAGCCACCCAGGCGCCCTAAAGTCCTAGTCTTAATTTATATTATCTTTTGTTTAGAAATCCAGATTGTTTATATATCTTTTTAAAGATCAGTCTGGCCAACGTATTTCTGGTTCATAGAATTTCCTTAAAATCAGTTAGCAAGCATTTACTGAGAAATTCTTTTGTGTAGAGCATTTAGCAATTGTCACTGAAGTATTAGAAGACAGACTTTGGGAGGCATCAGGGTGGACTGGATAAAGTCCACTTGGAAAAAATTATATGAAAGATATAGATAGTGGAGGTTGGTGGAGAACAGTAGCTAAAATCCCTTCTTGGTAGGGATAGCGGGATCATCTTACCTGGGGACAGCTGAAATTTGGTTGAAGACTTAGTTAAGGTGCTGCCTATGTTTGTTTGCTTTTTAAGAAGAAATGGGATCCAGCAGGGTTGCCAAGAAAAACATAGTCCTAGAATTTGACTTAGCTCCCTAGAGAAGAGAGTGTCTTAATAGTGAATGCTAAATAGAGGAGAGTTTTGTTGTTATGTGTTTTTGAATATAAATAGGGTGACCAGAGGGATGAAGTGACTTTTCCAGTATCCTGAGTCTGGATGCCAGGACTTGACCTACATGTGACTATTGATTGCTGTTGTGAAGTTTCCCACGGGGTATCGTGGGCTCACAGCCGCCCCTTTTCAGTAGTACTTCATCTTTGCAGCATTTTGCAATACAGAGACCATCCTTGTCTGCTGTCCTTTCCTTTGCCCTTCCCCAAACTGGGGGATTTCTTTTTGCTTCAGAATGTCCTGATTCTGCATTCATGTTGTGAGCCCTTATCTGTTTCTTTCTTTTTGTTTGTATATTTACAATAGCTAATAGGGTCAGTTGCATTAGCATTCTTTGCCAAATAAAGTTATCATTGGAAATAAGTGGCATGAGACCTCCCAGAAATTCCATTTTGAGAGCCAAGCTTAGGGTGACTTTGTGTTCTTTTTTGTCATTTCTGTAAAACAGGTCTCCTTAAAAGAAAGAATAATGTGAAAATAAGTAGAAGGAGGGAAGCAAAGTAATGAATTCTGAGTTAAAGTTCTTTAGAAAATATCCCGGATGTATTGTATCTGTTTGACTGCCTTTGTTAGTGTTCTTGCGATTTAATGTTGCTTACGCTACTGTAGTATAAGCCAACTTGAATTGAAGTATTGGGATTGGGGACTTTGGGAAAGATGCGTTGTGTTCTTGCTTGGCAAGACACTTGAGAAAGCTGTCATAGTCCTTTTTATCCACGAAACCTTGAGTAAACTGTAACATCTTGACATAGGCCAAGAATTTTCTTGTTTTTCATCTTTGTTGTCCATTGCATTGGGATAAGATAGATAAAATCTTCATTTTAACACATGGAGGAAGCGAAGCGATTTGAAGTGTAATGACCGTGCGTTGTGCTGTATGTTGCTATTAGAGTGTGATTTAGAGCTGCACTGTCCAGTGTGGTAGCTGCTGGCTGCATGAGGCTCTGAAGCACTTGAAATATGGTTAGATAGGCTCCAACTGTAAAATACACTGGATATTGAAGACTTAGTATTAAAAAATGTCTCATTGACACTTTTTTTTTTTTTAAAGATTTTATTTATTTATTTGACACACAGAGAGAGCGAGAGAGAGAGCGAGAGAGAGCACAAGCAGGGGGAGCGGCAGGCAGAGGGAGAAGCAGGCTTCCTGCATGAGCAGGGAGCCCGATGTGGGGCTCGATCCCAGGACCCTGGGATCATGGTCTGAGCTGAAGGCAGCGGTTTAACCAACTGAGCCACCCAGGTGCCCCTCTCATTGACACTTTTAAAAAATGGATTTTTTTTATGATTTATTTATTAATCTTAGAGAAAGAAAGAGCAAGTGTGCCCACATGCGGGGGAAGTGGCAGAGGGAGAGGGAGAGAGAAGCTCAGGCAGACTCCCCACTGATTGAGGAGCCCAACATGGGGCTTGATCCCACAACCCTGAAAATCATGACCTGAGCTGAAACCAAGAGTCGGATGCTTTACTGACTGAGCCATGCAGGCACCTCAGAAAAGATGGATTATTTTTAAATCACAAAAATTGGTTACATGTTGAAATAATTTTTTTGATATATTGGATTAAATAAAGCATATTAAAATTTTAACTTTTAACGTAGCTACTAGAAAATTTAGAGTTAAATATGTGATTCCTTTTTCTACTGGACAGTGCTAGTTGAGTATAAAAAATGGTTGCTAGGATTACAACTTAATGGTCTCTGACTTGTGTGATATGAGATATGGAGACACAGTATATGAGATAGAATTATGATACAGTTGTACATCTGGATTACTTTGATATGTTTAAATTTGTTTGCTTTTTAGAAAACTAGCAAGTATTATTCCTGACTACTATTTAAAAATCATTGCTTCAGGACTATCAGTGAGACTTAAAAGTGCAGAACAGAGGACTTCTTTGACTTGGTACCAGCTGTAGATGTTGCCCCTGCAGACCTACCAGGTTGAGAAGGAATCCCACGGAGCTCTGGAGTGTTAACTCAGAGAGGAGGGGTGGGCAAAGTTTCCTTAGGGTCAGTTCCAGGTCTTACTCTTCATTCTGACTAGATGGGGCACTTGTGTACAAGTAAATCTGACCCAAGTGTGGTTTAACCTCCCAAGTTCTGAAACTCACCAAGTAGGTGGACTTAAGAGGCAGCAAATAATTAAAAGTATTTGTTAGGTTTTGTTGAATAAATAGATGGTGAAATGTGAAGCAAGAACCGCATATAACCTTCATTTCACACCCAAGAACAACAAACAACATTTTTCTCATCAGCTGTGGATTTCACTTGTTTTAGAAGTATGATAAATAAGATGTATGTGGTTTTTAGCTTTAATATTTAAAAATAACTTACTTTCTTATGTTGTCTGTTCCTTAATTGAGTTGGGGTGAAAAATTCATTGGATTTTTGGATCATAATTTTGTCTTGATTTTGTAGATTTACTATTTAGCATTGGAAGTTATGCATGTAATTTTGCAAAAATCAAATTTTTTGTTTGGTTAATTTATGACCTTACTGTAACAAACATTACATTGTGTGTTGATAGGGCTTAATTTTGAAAAGGAAATTTTCATTGGTTATAAATTTCATAATCATAGAGCAAATACGGGTTTATGCTTGAGCATCATCAGATAGTGAGGTGGTTAGTAGAAACTGATAGACCATAGATTATCAAAATTAATAATACAGCAAACCATAATTAATACCATGACTTGAATGTAACTTGGGCGGGCAGTGGCTCTATAAATAGGATCAATTCTAAGTGGTATGTGAAAATGCTGGGTACTAGCATATAGCAGGCGATAAAATGCTGGTAAAATCGGATTTTACAGTATATTTTAGATGGGGTTTTTATATGCTTGAGGGGACTCTTGGCTTATGTCCTTTTTTTTTTTTTCCTTCTTTCCTTTTAGAATATGGTTTCTAGCTTTAGGGTTTCTGAACTACAAGTGTTACTAGGCTTTGCTGGACGGAATAAAAGTGGACGCAAGCATGACCTCCTGATGAGGGCGTTGCATTTACTGAAGAGCGGCTGCAGCCCTGCGGTTCAGATTAAAATCCGAGAATTGTACAGACGCCGATACCCACGGACTCTTGAAGGACTTTCTGATTTATCCACAATCAAATCTTCGGTTTTCAATTTGGATGGTAGCTCATCACCTGTAGAACCTGACTTGGCCGTGGCCGGAATCCACGCGCTGCCTTCATCGTCAGTTACACCGCACTCACCGGCCTCTCCTGTTGGTTCTGTGCTGCTTCAAGATACTAAGCCCACGTTTGAGATGCAGCAGCCGTCTCCCCCAATTCCTCCTGTCCATCCTGATGTGCAGTTAAAGAACTTGCCCTTTTATGATGTCCTTGATGTTCTCATCAAGCCCACGAGTTTAGGTAAGTGTTAGAGAAATTAGTTCCTTCCAGATGAGAGAATAACTAAAACAAGAGGCCTTCAACTAGTGATTAATGATTTGCTGTTAGTACTCTAAAATTGAGACATTAATGCCAAATAAATGCCAGATAAAAAATATTGGCAACCATGAATGAAATCTAGTGTAGAACTGCTAATTCATCATGCCAGCATTTTTATGGCTTAGAACTCAAATTACTTCTGTGTGTGTGGGAACAGGTACTACAAATATTGCTTGCTGTCTGTAATTTGTGTTTTGGTGTTTTTACAGAGATTTAGTTTCTGTTTAACATAGTGTTTAAACTGTTTTCCTAAGAAATAAACGTTTTATACTTAATTTGACACGTGGAGTTTGACAAACGTATTTAGCTTTTTTAATATCTGACAAGTGCTCAGAAAATGTAATAAATTTTATCATTACCAAAAATTGATACATGGGACTTTAACAAATTCTTACCTACATAATGGCTTCTTTGTTATGGTATGATTTCTTATTGCCTAATGAAATTATTTACAGAGGTATTTGGAATTTTTGATGAAATAAATTGTTTAGGGAATGGCATTTCATAGTTAATTTGGGAGTTTTTTTTTTTTTTTCCTCATCCTGGGAAAAACTCTTTTTATTTCAGGTCATTTGAGAACGCTCTTAAATATATCAATATGTTCTTTTCCTTTTGTAGAGGATTATGCTGCTGTATATCTTGAAGGAAATTTTGAGGGGTAGGACTGGGGTTAATGGAGTCAGTACGGCCTGATTGATGGCAGGCCACAGTGGCTGTGCTTTTCCCAGCCCCTTTCTCCTTGCTTTAAATGTTTTAATTTAGCAATACTTAGCCAGGCAGGTAGAGTAATACATTATCCCTTCATTATATTCATTATGAAGTAAGGATTGTGTTTATGTTTTATTATTTGTACAAAGTTCTATGAGTAAACTACTGCATCAAAGAGTAAGAACATTTTAATTTTAGACTCTTGATAACATGTTGTTGAAGTTTCCAGAAAAGCTGTGCCAGTTTACATTACAGGAACAAAGTGAGAGAATGTCTCTCATTGCCTTTCTTCCTGCCTTTATTAGGTGTTATTAAAAACAAATCTTGGTGATTTTGACTGGTGAAAGCTTGTATCTTGTTTAGATTTTTTTGTTTTTAAAATTAATAACTGCAGTAAACATTTTTAAATGTTTATTACCCAGTTGCCTTTCTTTTGTGCTTTTACCTTCTTTTTTTTTTTTTTTTTTAAACAGGTTCATTTATCTGGTTAAAATGGTTCCATAATTCTTTTTATTTCTACCTTTGTCATGGTTTTTGGTTTATACCAGTGGACCATATCATGGCTCAGTCCCATGTTTCTTTCTCAGCAGTTATTGCAAATTTATTTTTTTTCTTTTTGTATGTATTTTGAGAAAGATTCAGATTGGTAATATGCTTAGGTGCCCCTCCCTCATGGGACTCCTCAGGAGTATGGCTAAGGTGAGGCTGGAGAAGGTATAAGAGGGCCTGTGGGGTTGCGGTTACAGTGGAAGGGACTGAAAAAGACCTGGTTGCGTGCCTCGAAAGAAGATGCAGCCATGTGTCTTCTCTACTCATCAGCATCAGTGGTGCACCAGGCTCTGTGATTTTCTTTCCTTATTTCTGTTTAGTTCAAAAATAGAAATTGGAGTTTTCTGCTTTTCTGTATTTCATAGCGTTTCTCTTTCATTACCTTCATAAGGTTAAAGGAGAGTAGTAGGCTTTTTATAAGTTTACTAAAATAAAATTTTCCTATCTGATTTCACTTAGATAAAATAATTTTGTATTTTATGTTGAAGAGTGGCTAAGAAAAACCTACCTTTTGCTCATAGTTTAAATTAGAATGTAAGAGATAACATATAACCTTAGGGCTTATGAAATAACTTTTATCCCTGAGCTAAAAACTCTCTATACATATGTTTTTCAAGAGTCCTGCCTATCATTGTTTTTATGAATTTATAAACTGATTCTTGTTTTAAAACAATAAACATTTCCTTATCTTGCCTCCCCTAAGGAGAAAAAGAAAAGAATTTTCTTAATGTGTGTAATCTTGTTTTGTCAGATTGATAAAACAGTGATCTAAGAAATGCTCTTTTAGACTTGGAGGTAAAAAGTTAGAAAATCCACATCAGCATGTAGTCTGCCAAATGAAAGTGGAAAAAACTTAATCATTTCTAGTAATGACCTTTAATTGAAAACTTTCAGTGTCACAGTGTCTCAAGCAATGTAATGACATCCAGAAGTTTCCTTAATTTTTATTGTTTTATAATACTGAAAATATACATAAAAATAGAAATTCTGGGGAAGTCCATTTGTTTGGAATCCTGCTATAGAGAAACCTGTTTACATTTGGGGATTGAGAATTAAAAATCCTCAGGAATCAAAAGAGATATCAAATCCATATTTCAAAGCACATATTCTTGACATCTGCGAGCCAGTCTGTGTATTCTTGATTTTATAGATGATTTCTAAGCCATCAACATATTGTTAAGTAGGAATTAATTGACAACATGAGAGAGACTAGAAGAGCCATGGTAGAAAAAATAGACACAAGAGGTCAAAATATGTTACTCCCAAACCTCTTGGTATATTGAAACCAATAGCCCGTTAGTAATGAGGGAGTTGCTATTACAGCATGGCCCATGTATTGATGCTAAAAAAAGAACCCAAGAAACAACCATGATGTATATATTCTATTAAAAGAGATACATTGTAATACAGTTTTCTAGTTTGGAATTATTTCCATTCAGCATGGTTAAAATAAAAATATTTTAGCATTTAAAATGGTAAACTGTGGCATCTGAAAAATAAGAGTGTACACAATACTAAATGAGGTTCTCTGTAGCTGAGGTTTTTATAACAAATGGATAATACCAAAATTCAAAAACTAACAGAAATCTCTGTTCTCCTCCCTTATATAGCTGTTCTGATTTGCTTTCACAAGCCGTCTTTCTCTCTTCTTCTCTTTTCTTTTCTTTCTCTCGTCTTTTTCCTTCTTTTTTTTTTATGACAACTTTTGAAGATGAAATCCCTTTGGGAATTTTGTATTTAAGAAATTTGTCTATATTTAATCTGTACAAAAAAGAATATATATAAAACATGAAAGTATAAAAAACATCAGTGAAATGAACACTAGTGAAACCACTACCTAGTTTTGTTTTTTGTGTTTGTTTTGTTTGTTTTTTAAAGTTGGCTCTAGCATGGAGCTAGTGCGGGGCTTGAACTCAGGACCATGAGATTGTTACCTGAGCTGAGATCAAAAGTCAGATGCTTAACTGACTGAGCTGCTCCAGTGTCCCCCCACTGCCTGGGTTTTTAAAAAGAAACATTGGCAGTATCGTCACGCCATCTCCTTGCCTTTTCTGAGTTAAATCACTATTCTGAGTTTATGTTCCTCTCCTTTTCTTGTTTTACAATATATGTGTTTAAAAAAAAGTAATGTTTCTCATCCAGGTACTAACCAGGCCCGACCCTGCTTAGCTTCCGAGAGCAGACGAGATCTCTTCTGTGACTAGCTCTTTTCGTTCGCTCTGTTTTATAAGCTTTGTATGTTGCTACATCTAGCTGTTTGGTATTTTGTGAAATACCTTCAATGTATTTTGAGCCTTTAATTCCTTAAAACTTCTTCATTGTGCTTTTCAGATTACAAAAGTAATTTATGCTAGTAACTGAAAATTCAAACATCATAGAAATATAACAGAAAGGAAAGGTCCCTTATAAAGTCATATATTATCCAGCTAGAGTTGTATCAATAGTAAACTGTTTTTCTGCATATGTTTAGTCATCTTCTTTCTCTTCCTATTCATTAAAAAGGCTTTTTCCATCTGCAGAGCTACTTTGCCACATTTCTAGTGAGAGAGGACACTGTTGTATTAGTATCCTCTGCCAATAGCACCTCCTGGAGTTCTGCATTGTGATAATATTTCTTAACAGTGTTTCTTGGAAATACAGATTTGTGGGTTAAATAGACCTGTTATCTTGTAGATGTACCATCACTTAACCAGTATTCCGTGGTGGACATTTTCAGTGATTCTCAGTTTTTCATTTATTTGAAAGTATTTTAGTATACAGCATTGTGAGTCACTATTCTTGCAGTTTTTTAGACATTGCTGCTGTTAGCATTTTTGCATATGTGCTTCTGAATACTTGGGTGAATATTTATGAAGTATAATGCCTCTGTGAAGTTAGTCAAGGAGTATAAGTACTTAGTATTTTGATATTCAGCTTTTGTTTCAGCAATTGCTTCAGAAGCCTTGTGCCCATTTATAATCCAGCAGTGTATGAATGTATTAATTTTTTCTATCCCTCATCAGCATTGGTCTTTTAATTTACTATTGGTCTTTTAATCTTTAATCTAAAAGATGAGAAATTAATAAGAATCAACATCTTTTCATATTCTTAAATTCCTGATTATTAGGAAATACTCATTAAGCTTTCGGGTACAGTTGAATAGGTTTAAAGTGATGTGCAACTAATGGAAAGCCATTAAAATAGAACCTCACTTCTAAGGAGTTTGGATAAATTCAGACACTGTACACATTTTTATTAACCCAGTTAACGAGTATATAATGAGGATTTAATTTGGGTATGGTCATGTAGTCTAATTGTGGAGAAGCCAGAAGTATAAGATGGCCATTAGGAAGTTTGTTACCTAGCTGGGGAGGTAGTGTTAACACGAGAGCAAGAAGCAATGAGGTATGTGCCTGTATGATGAAGAACTATAAATTGTGTATCTGAAACTCACATATTTTGTAGGCCTCAGGAATGGGGAAGTCAGTCAAGACTTCTTGGAGTAGGAGTGAGACTTGAAGGAGCTTTGAAGTATGAATTTGTCTACTTTGAATTAATGGCATTTATAGGAGAGGAAACACCAAGGAAGGGGAGAACTGTGAGTAGTCACAGGAGTAGAAATGAAAGTGGCATAGTTAGGAGACCTGACTGAGGAAGCTGTTTTGAATAGAGAGTAAGACTTGGGG